CGAGGGCTTAAGTACGGGTTTTGTACCCTACTGCTAGAGCGCTCTCTATTATTAACACGGTCCGTGATAAAGTTTATTAAGGTATTGATGCGGGATATCGCCTAACAATTTTATATGTATATTCCATCACAAAATATAAATCCTCTGCGCTGAGATTATTGCGCATGCGCTACACACGTAACGGTAGCCAGATTGTGTACTGGCTTCTATACGCAGCGGGGATTTACATGCCAGGGCGTCTTCCTCGCGATTTCTTATGTGTCAACTGATGGAATGTTGGATTATATACTCTAATGCTAGGGGATAACTCCTTTGCATTTCAACGCCTATCTGTGCCAAATGACGATTTTCTCTCTTTGAGTATTGCGTTGCGCGGCGCACCGTGTTAGGCCGTTGCAGTGCGTCCCCGTCTGAGGAAAAACTTCATAATATAGCTTGCTGCGGGGGAGAGGGGATGGGAGGCTGAGGAACAAAGCGGCAGCGGAGAGATAGCTGGGGGGGTGAAGAGGAATGGAGGCTGAACAAGAGAAGGGAGGTAAGGCGGAAGGTCGCTGCGGGCTAAAGTAGGTGTATTGTACCCAACTGCTAGGGCGCTCTCCTAATTATAACCAGGTCTACTGATTAAAGTTTATTAGGGGAAATCTCTCTCTGATATCTATTGATTATGAGATATCCCTACCACGATTAAATGTTATTCATCACAAATATAACTCTCTGGTGTAGGATTGCGCATGCGCTAACACAACTAAACTAGCCGATTGGTACTGGCTGGTTACGCAGGGTGGATCTTACATGCAAGGTTTCCTCTATTTCTTCAATTTAATGTCAAATAATTGGAATGTTATCATTAAATTATGGCCTAGGATAACTACTCTTCGTTTTAATGCTATCTTTGCAAATCGATTTCTCTCGCGGAGTATTGCGCAATGCGCGCGCCACGTGGTTAGGGCGTTGCAGTGCCGTATCTGAGGAAAACTTCTAATATAGCTTTGCTGCTGGGGGGAGGATGGGAGGGACTGAGGATAAGGCGGCAGGAGGAGATAGCTGGAGGCTCGTGAAGAAGAGGACCCCTGAGCGAGGGACAGGTGCAGCGCAACGGGATAGACGCCGAAGGATACAGTTACGTGTTTTGTACCTCACTGCTGGGCCTCTCTATTTAACCCAGGCTCCGCTTGATAAAAGGTTTCTTAGAGTATCTATCGCGGAGTACCCCTAATCATGTTAAATGCGTATCATCACAAATATAAACTCTCTGGTGAGATATTGCGCATGCGCTAACACGCCTAACATAGGCAGCGGTGTACTTTGGCTTTTAACGCCAAGCGGGGATGCTTACATGCAGGTCTTCTCGATTTCTTACTATGCTCAACTGATGGAATGTTAATTATATAAAGTGCTATGCTAGGATAACTCTCTTCCTTTTAAAGTGCATAACTTTGCAAAATACGATGTTCTCTCGGTGAGATATTGCGCTGTGCGCGCCCGTGTTAGGCGTGCAGTGCCCGATCTGAGGCAACTTCATCATATGAGCTTGCTGCGGGAGAGAGGGGATGGGGAGACTGAGGAATGGCGGCAGGGGAAGAATAGCTGGCGGCCGTAGAAGGAAAGCACTAGGCTTGAGCGAATGGACAGGGGAGGTAAAGGTAGGCGCGAGAGCATAACCGTACGGTGTTTGTGCTACCTACATTTGCTAGGCGATTCTATTATAATACACAAGTCTGACTGATAAGTTTCTTAGGCTATTCTAAGCGGACGAGGACCCCCTAACCTATTAATGATTATTCATCACAAATTATAACTCCTTGCGTGATATTGCGCATGCCCTAACACACTAAGTAGCGATTGGTGTATGGCTCGCTATACGCAGCCCTGACCTTATGCAAGGTCTTTCATGCCTATTTCTTCAATTTATGTCTACTGTAAAAATGTTATCATAGAAATCGTATGCTAAGATAACTCCTCTTCACTTTCAAACGCATAATCTTTGCAAAATTACGATTTCTCTCGCGGAGTTATTGCTCCATGCGCGGCACCGTGTTAGGCGTGCAGTGCCCGGTCTGAGGAAAAATTCATTAATATAGCTTGCGGGATCGAGAGGGGGATTGGGAGACTGATGGAAAGGGCGAGGGGGATAGCTGAGGGCGGTTTAGAGAGAAGGAACCTGAGCTGAGCGGACAGGGGAGGGACAGACGGATTAGCGGCGCGAGGGCGATAAAGTAGGTGTTTGTACACTACTGCTAGGGCGCTCTCACTATTATAAACACAGTCTCTGTTTAAAAGTGTTATTAGGGAACTCTAATCGGACGGATACCCCCTACACTCATTAAGATGCGTTATTCGATCACAAATCGTAATAAACTCTTCTCTGGTGAGATATTGCGCATGTGCCACACGACTAACGTAGGCCAGATTGTGTACTGCTGCAATTATACGCGAGCCCTGACCGTACATGGCAAGCGTCTTCCTCCTATTTCGCTTAAATTATGTCTTTACTGATAAAGTGTTTATCATAGAATCGTTGCTAGGATACCTCCTCCTTTATTTCAAACGCGTAATCTTTGCGCAATACGATTTCTCTCGGGCAGATATTGCGCATGCGCGCGCCCGTGTTAGGCGTGCAGTGCCGTTCTGGGAAACTTTCTAATATTATAGGCTTGCTGCGGGCCGGGAGAGGGATGGGACTGAGTAAAGCGGCTGGAAGATAGCTGGGGGCGGCTAGAAAAAGGAAGGAGGGCTGAGCGAGTACAGGGGAGGCAAGGAGTGAGGGCTAAGTAAGTGTTTTTGTACCCAAATGCTGGGCGCTCTCCCAAGTATAACACAGGTCTGCTGATAAAAGCTTTATTAGAGTATCTATGCGGAGATACCCTATATGTTTAATGCTATTCATCACACATTATAACTCCTCTTGTGCAGATGATTGCGCATGGCGGCGTACCACACTAACGTAACGGATTGAGTGTACTTGGCTGGTATATGCAGCGGGACCTTTACATGCAAGGTCTTTCTCCGATTCGTTCAAATGATGTCAACTGATGGAATATTATCATATAAATCTATGCTAGGATAACTCCTCTTCATTTTAAATGCATAATCTTTACAAAAGTCTATTACTTTAGATATAGTGTTTACATTACAGGTAGTAGCCCTCATTTGCACACCCTCCCAATTGCCATAAAATTTTATTTGTAGATGCCAATTAACATCAGGATATTTTCTTTGAGTTCTTAAGGCGTCTTTCAGTCGCCTTAAGAGGAAAACGTTTCATTTCTCATTTAAATGTCACATTATAACCATAAATCCAATGCTGTGATATGTTTACTTTGATGAGTCCTCACTTTAAGTTAAAATAAGCCTAAATTTGTTCGAGACCTCCCACGATGCTTTGCAAATGAGGGTTACTATCTTTGAAAGGAAAATGGGATTCCAGTCTTCTTTTTTTTTATCTCAGACTTCAGTATCCATAAAAAGAACCATCTTTCACTCAGTGAATGGTACGTTGTAATTCCAGTACACGTAAAAAGTGTCAAGATTAAATTTTGCTTTGAGATAAATTTAAGAGATACATAAAGATATCATAGTTGAAGCTACCATACTTTAACACGTTAAATTCAGAATATATTGTTTGCCCCCCCCCCACCCTCAAATTGGATCAAAGCCCCTGATGGAATACAATCAACGATATACACGAAGAACTCAAAAACGCATTATTTGAAATGGAAAGTTTTGAAAATTCATCGACCTCTATTGATCAGATGACCTATGAAAATAAAATGTAAATGATACAAACAATAGTTGATACTTGCAATTAAAATTCGCGAAAATGCACCTTTTAGAGATCAAAAATACGAAAAGTTCCTACCGTTGGACGGGGGATACCCCCCTCCCAACTCCCCCCTCGGCCGCTTCTCTCCCGCACAGGCTCTTGAACCACGGCTGGTCCCCACACACACTTTTTAAAATGAATTGCGTCTCTGGGTTGAATTGTTTTTACTGCGCTTAAATTATGTGTAACAAGGCCTCAGATTGGGTAAAAGGGGCATAATTTAACCGCGGTTGAAATAATTTATCCCCGGTTGAATTATGTGTAACACGACCTGTAATTGGGTAAAGGGCCAATAATTCTACCACGATTAATTTATTTTAACCGCGGTAAAAATAATTATTTCTGAGAACGAAGGCAAACCTCCCATACACGGACACATCTGACTCTATAATCTATCACCCGTTTTAAATAGGATTGGAAGATTTGCCGGAAGATTTGCCAGAAGGTTATAATTCATAAGATGAGTCATTAGGATACACATTTAAATGTGTAATATATGTATATATGTATGTTACATACATATATACATATATGTATATATATATATGTATGTATATAACATATATGTACATACATACATACATAACATGATAACATACAATATACACATATAAACAACTACTCCTGAGTGTATGCTCATCACGGGTGTATAATTTCAACACAGTTATACATGAGTATTTTTCATTTAGCTTCATTCACTACTTCTCATGCGCGATGTAGCGCCGACAAACGACAAAGAAAAGTATTATTTATATGAAGAATAGAGATGGTAAGAAGATTGGGCTCGCTGGGCCAACGATTCCATGGGTGTGGTGTGTCTGTATATTCGCCTATGATACGCTTAGTGTGGCATGACTGTGCATTCTCCTATATTATGCTTGGGCGCGGCGTGCCTGTATATTCGCCTATATCATGCGCTGGTGTTACGTACCTTTAGATTCTCATAATAATCTTGGGTGTGTATATATATATATATAACATACACGCATACTCTATACATATACTCATAATATCAATCTTCCGTACGTTTGTGTGTGCGCGCACGTTTGCACGAGCGCGTTCTTTGTCGCGGTTATTCTAACGAGTTTATCTCTAGAGGAAGGCATCACCGTGCCGATATTCTGAAAGTCAAGCGAAGTTTCTTTTTTTTAATTTACAAAACTAGGAATTTATTGAAATATGATAAATATATACTTTTATTTTGATGCATGAACTTGCACGCCATAACGAATGTATGTGCAGAAACATACACACATTTAAATCAATATCAAACTGCAAGATACATCTACGATGAAAGTCCACACATATAGGTGTCCGACGAACCATAGATGTATATTCTAATACGGTAGGATTAAACTTGCTTAGATGGCACATATATATATAGCGTTGGAATGTAAAAACGTCTAAAAACGACATTGGCTAATGAAGGATTCATCAAGCTCTCCTCCGTCTACCTTCTATTCTCTCCTATGGAAAAATTATCTGAGAAAATGTGAGGTGTAACCACGGTCAACCGTGTCGACAATTATTAAGTAGCCCCAGTTCAATGAAGCCGACCCACACGCTGGCTTGGGCACAGGCGGTCACCGTATCGCTCCTACTCTTAAAAACAACGCATTCGATAACTAACACGTTTTTCTCTCCACTACGCATCCCTGTGATCTCTCATCACACTGAATTTATAAAACTAATAAATGCATCCATCACTGCGAATACTTCATGGTTTCGATAAAATTCCATGCAAAATTATCAACGTTTTTATAACACAGTGAGACTAGAAGCTTATTGCTGAATAGCAATCAAACTTGTTTGGCTAGAATATTGTAATAACAGGTTATTAGACTCTAATTTGCTGCAATGACAGTTTGTGATGTATACTGACCATCCACTAACACGACTCCCATTACTACTGCCTGAATCACTGATCCAAATGTACTATGTCAAGCTAAACGCCAATGTTGGCTATAAATCTATCTCAAATGTTATTTTATATAGATATATATCTAACGTAATTTGCTCACAAAACTGCCACATGCTATTCTTGTTCTACAACAGTTACAAACTTGAGCTAACAAAACTATTATCACACTATATTCGACCAAGTAAATGCATAAATTTGAAAGCCAGCTTCCATGGTTCAGCACGGACACAATGATGCCAGCGGCAAACAGCGCACACAGGAACGACAGCTCAACATTGCCTCACCATACTTTCAAAATCAATGCCGCACTCGACCTCCACGCTGATATTGCCACCCACGAACCCACTGCCGTCATCACCACCGCCATCATCATCACCATCATCACCACGGGCGCCTACTCCCAGCAGATATCATCGCGCGACAGAGTCGACGTTATCGTCCGCACGTTCTTAAGCAGCTCGAGGCTCTCCTGTCGCGATCGTCTACCAGAGGGCGACAGCGGGCGTTCGGCGGAATGCACGCGGGTCGTCGTCTGCGCAGTCTTGGGCCGGCTGATGCGCCGCTTGAAACCGGGCGACTCCGTTGCCGTGACGACGCGCGCTTTCCCCGCCCTGCTCTCTCGCGTGGCAGTAGAAGGTCGGGTTGTGTTGGATTGCACTCTATTGCCGACCTGAGGAATCGATGTCCTAGACGAATACACCTGATCTGCTTCGGCACACTTTTTCACCTGAAACGATTTGCGACGCAGGTAGATGGCGAGACGAGAGTCTAACAAACATATCGGGAACATCGCTAATCATGCACTAGTAGCAAACGCACTTTAATTTGGCATAACACGGCACAGTCAGATAAATAGATCACTAGGGAATGCAACCCCCGCTTCAGACGTTAAAGCTTATGTTAGTTATGTAGGTTATTACCATGTCATTACATAGGTATGTAAGTGATTGGCAGGGAGTTATGTTAGTTAAGTGTTGTTTGCGACACGCACGCACCTTCTCCAGATGCTTGCGCAACTGCGCGATCTGGTGTCCCTTGCTGTCCATACGGTTGACGAGTCGTTCGACCGCGCTCGCTATGTCATCTCTTACGCCGGCGTCCCGCGTGTTCGACATTTGACGCTGAAGCTCCTCGTGACGTCTGCAAAACACAGGAACGCTCATTGACATTACGAAAAACCTTCGCCAAAGCATGCGAACGCTCGGGAAGACTGCATCTTGCTCAAACATTGCGTTTCAAATATAGCTATCACTCATGGCACACGAGACTTCTCTCCTCCCCGCTCTAGGTTGCAGTGAACCTGTATAAACTCGGGTTAAATGTTAGTATTAGGATTATGGTTAGGGTTAGAGTTCATTGCCCTTTAAAGGGATACTTTCCTCTAAAATTTGAGAGTATATTATGATAGTAGATTTATAAATAATAGCACATACCTATAAATATCTATAATTACGCATTCACGTTTGTCATAAAACAACATTGAATTTCAAAATCTTCATTTTTTGGCGCTGACATGACACCCGCGATCGTGCTGTTTATAACATCGCGATCGCGAACGTTTATAAGATATTGCAATCCTTCTGCTCTTAAATTAATAAATACAAAACACCCTCGGTCTGTAGCCTGCAGCTGAAACGTTGCTTTGTGCAACTTTTCAGTGGGTGCGTTGCCAGTGGCGCCACCGTCTTTGTAAGCAACGGTATAGCCACAGACTAACGGATACACAGACTGGACACTTCGTATACCCTGCTTGCTAAGCGTTTCGATGGTGCTGCCCCTGGCGAATGTAGCGGTCAACTACTCGAAATGGCCTCGGGGTTGTCTATATTCAAGCCAGTACGGGAGATTACGGTACGCATATATTTGCTAATAACCCCAGGTTTTTCAACATGTGCTTCGGCATAATTATAAGCCTCTTCTATAATATTATTATTTTGTGCTTGTCTCCACTAAACGAAAAAATAGAAAGTATGAAAAATTACTCCCGATTGACAGCCTAAACTGAATACAGGAACCGCGACCGTATACGGCTGCTAGGTGCCCTATAGGTAGGGGATATTGAAAGTATTTGCTATAGTCTCGAGTTCCAAAATCTTGTCACTCTATATCCGATCTTACAAGCATGCAAATGAATTTAACATAGACTTGTAATATGTAAGACTAGTACGCACGCGATCGCTAGCTCTCCAGTAGCTATTGATATCTGTGGTAGATATGTACATTCGTATATATATTATATATACATATCGTATATATTACGTACTATTATTTAGGTCGCACCACACGCCTCAAACAGTGCTCGCGCATGCGCACTATCTTCCGAAAAGATTATAATATTTTGCAAAAATTATGAATTTAGAATGAAGAAGGGTCAACCTAGCATATGACAAAATTCCATACGTTGACCTCAATTGAGAAATAGGAAGCAGACCTTGCATGTAAGGTCCCCGCTGCATATATACAAGTCAGTATAACCTGAATACTGCTTTAGCACATGCGCAATATCTCACCAGAGTAGTTAGATTTTGTTATTAAAATGCATTTAGTATGGTCAGAGGGTATCTCGGTAGAGGTTTCGGCAATAAATTATTATCAGTAGACCTGTGTTTATAATTAGGAAAGCGCCATAGCCTGTAGGGTGCAAAACTCCTTCATCCGCGCCCGCCCTTTCCCTTGTCTACCTTGACGCACGCTCAGCCTTTTCCTTCTTCCACCGCACCTCAGCTATCTTCCCTGCCGCCTTCCAACAGTCTCTCACCCTTCTTTCTCTTACCAGGCCGTATTTACGTACTTTCCCGTTGGATGTATTGCACGTCTGAAACGGTGCTCGCGCATGCGCAATATTTCCCGAGAATAATAATATTTTGCAAACATTATTAATTTAAAATGAAAAGAGGTTATCCTAGCATAGATCTATATCATAAAATGTTATTAGTAGACCTCACTTCAGAAATAGGAAGCATACCTTGCATGTAAGGTAGGGGGGCCTACCCGCTGCAGATAATTCTTAATTTTCTACAGCCTCTCAACTACAGTATCTTCCCTGCCGGCAAGCTATATTATGAAGTTTGTCTCAGACGGCACTGCACGTCTAACACGGTGCGCGTATTATATAAATCTATGCTAGGATAACTCCTCTTCATTTTAAATGCATAATCTTTGCAAAATACGATTTCTCTCGGAAGATATTGCGCATGAGCGCGCACCGTGTTAGGCGTGCAGTGCCGTCTGAGGAAAACTTCATAATATAGCTTGCTGCGGTGGAGAGGAGATGGGAGACTGCGGAAAGGCGGTAGGAAAGATAGCTGGGGGCGGTAGAAGAAGAAGGAGGCTGAGCGAGGGACAGGGGAGGCAAGGGGAAGGACGGGAGGGCATAAAGTAGGTGTTTTGTATCCTACATGCTAGGGCGCGCTCCTAATTACAAACACAGGTCTACTGATAAAAGTTTATTAGGGAAATCTATGCTGAGATATCACATAACAATTTTAAATGTATATTCATCACAAAATATAACTCCTCTGGTGAGATATTGCGCATACGCTAACACACTAACGTAGCCAGATTGTGTACTGGCTGGTATACGCAGCGGGGACCTTACATGCGAGGTCTTCCTGCTATTCCTTAAATCATGTCAACTGATGGGATGTTATTATATATATCTATGCTAAAATAACTCCTCTTCATTTTAATGCATAATCTTTGCAAAATACGATTTCTCTCGGGAGATATTGCGCATGCGCGCGCACAGTGTTAGGCGTGCAGTGCCGTCTGAAGAAAACTTTATAATATAGCTTGCTGCGGGGCAGAGAGGATGGGAGACTGAGGAAAGGCGGCAGGGCAGACAGCTGGTTTTTTTAGAAGAAGTATGATGCTGAGCGAGGGACAGGGGAGGCAAGGGGAAAGACGCGAGGGCATAAAGTAGGTCTTTTGTACCCTACATGCTAGGGCGCTCGCCTAATTATAAACACAGGTCTACTGATAAATGTTTATTAGGGAAAATCTGTGCTGAGATATCCCCTAACCATTTTAAATGTATATTCATCACAAAATATAACTCCTCTGGTGAGATATTGCGCATGCGCTAACACACTAACATAGCCAGATTGTGTACTGGCTTCTATACGCAGCGGGGATCTTACATGCAAGTCCTTCTACGATTTCTTAAATAATGTCTACAGATGGAATGTTATCATAGAAATCTATACTAGGATAACTCCTCTTTATTTTAAATGCATAATATTTGCAAAATACGATTTCTCTCGGAAGATATTGCGCATGCGCGCGCACCGTGTTAGGCGTGCAGTGGCGTCTGAGGAAAACTTCATAATATAGCTTGCTGCGGGGGAGAGGGGATGGGAGACTGAGGAAAGGCGGCAGGAAAAATAGCTGGGGGCGCTAGAAGAAGAAGGAGGCTGAGCGATGGACAGGGGAGGCAAGGGTAAGGACGCGAGGGCATAAAGTAGGTGTTTTGTACCCTACATGCTAGGGCGCTCTCCTAATTATAAACACAGGTCTACTGATAAAAGTTTATTAGGAAAATCTAAGCGGAGATACCCCCTAACCATATTAAATGCATATTAATTATAAATTATAACTCCTCTAGTGAGATATTGCGCATGCGCTAACACACTAACGTAGCCAGATTGTGTACTGGCTGCTATACGCAGCCCTGACCTTACATGCAAGGTCTTCCTCCTATTTCTTAAATTATGTCTACTGATAGAATGTTATCATAGAAATCTATGCTAGGATAACTCCTCTTTATTTTAAATGCATAATCTTTGCAAAATAAGAATTCTCTCGGGAGATATTGCGCATGCGCGCGCACCGTGTTGGGCGTGCAGTGCCGTCTGAGGCAAACTTCGTAATATAGCTTGCTGTGGGGGAGAGGGGATGGGAGACTGAGGAAAGGCAGCAGGGGAGATAGCTGGGGGCGGTAGAAGAAGAAGGAGGCTGAGCGAGGGACAAGGGAGGCAAGAAGATAGACGCGAGGGCATAAAGTACGGGTTTTGTACCCTACATGCTAGAGCGCTCTCCTAATTATAAACACAGGTCCGCTGATAAAAGTTTATTAAGGTAATCTATGCGGAGATATCCCCTAACAATTTTATATGTATATTCATCACAAAATATAACTCCTCTGGTGAGATATTGCGCATGCGCTAACACACTAACGTAGCCAGATTGTGTACTGGCTTCTATACGCAGCGGGGATCTTACATGCAAGGTCTTCTCCGATTTCTTAAATGATGTCAACTGATGGAATGTTATTATATAAATCTATGCTAGGATAACTCCTCTTCATTTCAAACGCATAATCTTTGCAAAATACGATTTCTCTCGGGAGATATTGCGCATGCGCGCGCACCGTGTTAGGCGTGCAGAATCGTGCGTCAATAAACTCAATATTCACAGAGACTATAGCTAAGACATGTGTCTATAGGTATCTAGAATTTTAGAAATTTAATCATCTGTAATTCACTTTCGCACGCATATATTTGCTAATATACTGACTAATCGTGCGTCAATAAACTCAATATTCACAGAGAGTATGGGATGTCTATATTCAAGCCGGTACGGGAATCATTTGCATAATATATTCTAGTTATATTCCCAGATATAGCGTTTTTCAAGTTTCCCACAGAGCATGATAGGTACTAGATTTATCACGTGTTGCATGTTATATACGTTTGCAAATAATAAATTCGTTAGGACGGCAATGACAGATGCAGTGACTCACTGACTGCTGTGCACACGAACAAAGACTGTACTTATTGATTGTTTAATTATATGTAATCATAATATCAATGTAAACTAATACAATATACAATCTTGTGAAGCTAACAGTTAAAAGTTAGGTAAAAACACTACTTGGTTCGGTGATCTGTGTAATTCTGCTGCCCTTTGTTCTGTGAAAAATACCAGTTAAAACGATATGCAATTTGTAAATAATACACCACATCACATGACACATGTAGATGGTCATGTACATAGACTTCGGAAGTGGATCTGCAACATAAGAAGAGCCGACATTGACGGGTTAAAAGACAGCCAATGCAAATATCTGCTAATTTGAGATAATCATTTTGAGGCATCTCAATTTATGTGTCCAGCTGACAAGGGTTAAAATCACTGGCTGCTTTGAAATGTGATATGCTGTACCTATTTAAAAATATAACTATTATTAGTATGGGAAATTAGTAAAATACATTGCTTTGTCTGCTTCTCGTCGTGTGACTCATGGGGCGTTATACATGTACCAGGCTTGATTTCATGAAATATACATAAACAGAAAAATACGGTTGAGAAATATTCACTGCTGGGCACTGAAGTATATTATCATTATTGCTTATGGCAATATCAAAACTAAACCAACACATGCTGAATAATTTTGCTAATAAAAAATTCAAACTGTCTGTATTTTACCTAATTTTCCATAATTCCTTCACCCGATCCCTTCCACCTTTATTAAAAACACAAGGGCAAGTCAAAAAATTTAAGAAGCTAAGAAAGGATGCAGTTCCATCTCTGATAGAAGTCAGTAACCCTCCTGCATTCCGAACCTAGAAACAAGCAGAATCGTAAATTGCTGAAGCTCCAGCACTTGTGATTAAGCTTCTTAGCAATAAATGTGTATTTGAGTAAAAATTATGGAAATTATATCGTTTTTATTATTGTTTGTAGAAAAAACAAACATCTTACAAAATCCGGTCACAGACTGAGGAATAAATTAAACTACAGACTGTAGCACAGTATACAGTGTTCACATTACGCATTGTGATGTTATGTGTGTATTGCGCATTAGTCTGTGTATGGTCTGTGATACGGTGTGGATGATCGTTTTGCATGTAAAAATAAATGTACAGCCGTTTAATAGAGCAAAATCTACTTGAAGACTAACATTTGACCTTCTAGATTCAGGAATGTATAATTAAACTCCAGTCCAAATATTATAATTAACGATAGAGACGTTTTAATGTTACAACGTTACACATTTACGGTGTGTCACCACAGCCAGATTTTTAGTGTACCGCTACATTCGCTAGGCGGCGCCACCATTCAATTCCATAACACTATTTTGGCGTTGCGTCCAGTCTGTGTATCCGTTAGTCTGTGGTATAGCCGTCAGTTTTAAAACATTTTTAAAAAATATTTCTAATAAATATTGAACCATAAAACTTTTTATGAAGCGTAATTTTAACCAATCTTAGCAGAAAATATCTGAAGAACCTAAAGAAATGTATCCCTTTAACTTCTCAATCAAACTTTTTGATCTGCACCACAGAGTTCTATTTACCTGAGCAGCGGAACACTCGCAGCACTAATAACATTATTTTGCACGTTACATACGACCGAGGGCTAATCTCAAAAGTGCAATTATATTTATACCTAAATGCTATTTAACCGAACGATGTTCATTTTAGGACAAATTTATCCATATTATAACTGAAACTATATGTTGTTTATAAGATATTGCAATCCTTCTGCTCTTAAATTAATAAATACAAAACACCCTCGGTCTGTAGCCTGCAGCCGAAACGTTGCTTTGTGCAACTTTTCAGTGGGTGTGCTGCCAGTGGTGCCACCGTCTTTGTAAGCAACGGTATAGCCGTCAGTTTTAAAACATTTAAAAAAAAATATTTCTAATAAATATTGAACCCTAAAACTTTTTATGAAGCGTAATTTTAACCAATCTTAGCGGAAAATATCTGAAGAACCTAGAGAAATGTATCCCTTTAACTTCTCAATCAAACTTTTTGATCTGCACCACAGAGTTCTATTTACCTGAGCAGCGGAACACTCGCAGCACTAATAACACAATCGATATAATTAATCCATACAGCGTTCAACCTTTGTCTCCTCATGGCCTTCATCCCGACTGCTTATACTGTTATACCTTAACATACGGTAAGCACGTGCGCTGTAACTCTCCCCGATCAACTACTACTAGACTACTGTTGCGTTTATAAAGTTTGTGCAGCGTGCACTCTACGTACATAGCCAGGAGACTGAATTCCTTCTCCAGTGCTGCCATCAACTCGCTCAACTCTGACGCACTGCAGTGACTAGATGACGGTAGAGGTTGGGTCGCGGTGAGCTTTCTCGCTCTGTAAACACAAACCACTCAACATGTACTAGCAATGTCAAACCCATAATAATCCCCATGTGATAACCCGTTATTGTCTAATAATAATGTAAAGTCAATTTTAGCAACGCCCTTGCCTTCACAGCAGGAATTGTATTTTGGTAGGGAAACATGGTGTCGATTCATGTTCATTTACAGTCAAACACGCATTAGTGTACAAACATCTACATAACTAAATTGTCTATAAAAGACTATAATATCTGGTGTACCCTTAAGTTGTAGTTATAAAGTGAAAGAACTTCTATAGAACATACAGCTGTTTACAAAGGACACTTTTGTGGTATCCTTTCAGTGAACCTTATATACAAGTCTGAATGTGTTCATATTCCCAGATGCACATAATCCTCTAAAATATCAAGTTACCCACATCCTCAATAATGATACTGCCAAGGCACATGTAATAATAATGCATATGAATAATATATATAATCACCACCCCAGACAATAATCACATGGCAATTCATTAATTGTTTTTATCTGCTATGTAAAACATCTTTAAACATGTCATTGTATTTTTATAGCAAACTTTACATAATTGCTACTAGACATGCAGTTACTTACTACTCATATTACTTGAGAAAACTAACATCCCGAAAAAATTAAGCATAGGGCCATACTCACTTGGGCGACTTGTCACACAGTGAACTGTGCGTTTTTAATGCAGCAAGCATTCCCTGTATGTTGCCACCTACGGAATGACTTTTACTTGTGGCCTGGAAAAGGTACATGTCAGTATGCACACTCCAAATAAACAAGAAACAATAAACTTGTTTGTTGATTCTAAACAAGTATCGTACCAGGAGTCTATCAATTTTGATTCAAAATTGATTCTATTGATAGACTCCTGATCATACTCTCTTAAAATGTCCTAATCTTTTATGGCAGTTCTTGTTTGCTCAATTTTAGCCTAACAAACAGACCACTTTTAAGAACCATAGATCGTGCGCTAATCATGTGTTCACATGAGTATATATATAGACTTTGCAACTAAAATAACACATAGATTTAGTACATATATTCACGGCACATGCAGTTTTCATCAATCTATAACCAGATGCAAACCAGACAACGTGTAACAACAGTTTGGCTAAATCTTCTCATCTCCCCACAGTATCTACAGCCTGGACACCAAACCACTACCCTTCAGACATAGATGGTAACAACACTGAACAAGGATCGCTCAAATACAGGTAGCAACAAAACGTCAGGTCGTCACGACAGAACAATGCAAGCGATTCCCCCCGGCGTAACATACCGTGCCAACTACGAATGGAATTTCGGCAAAGTTCACTTGGTAATGTTCGGATCGGGCGGAGCTCTGCCGTGAGTTGGCTTCCGGCCTCCGTCTTTGTGTCTGGACCGACGCTGTCCTCCTACCATTGTCACGTGACTTCGGGGGATTAGACGTCACCTGAAACGTACGATACAAATAACTTACTCGCTGTAACAGAAAGCTAGGTGAATGAGAATTATCTCAGGACAGTGACATTTTTCATCCTATTCACCCACGACAACTCCCTGTTTCCTTCAATGCAGCTAAAGATCAGAAGGGTACGGATGTAGTAAAATGGGCCCACAGTGAAAAACAGCATGACTTGTCTCAAAACATGTTAGATCTGGTATATGACAACACAACTTGGCAATTTATGGCACTTAGATAGCACAGGGCCTAGGTACAATACTATGGTATTATTGCAGGCTTATACTGAAAACCTCCAAATATATATACTTATTAGGATTAGAAAAAATATATTCTCAATACAGTTTCCCACATCAGCAGGTATTAGTACCAAAACACTCTTAACTGTGGCTGTCATTATTAGACTACCAACGAACTGCAATCATTAATCATGAAAATTTAATTAAAATAATTGTCATCTCACAATCGACTGGAGTAACTGTTGCTGTTTTTATTACATAAAAATTATCTTGGCTTACCTGTGATTAGGTAGGCAAATAGTAGTGAGAATAGCTTACCTGAGCAAGGAGCTCCTGCATCTCCTGTCTTTGTCTCTCCTCCTCCTCTTCTAGCTTTTTCATCTTCATCTGCTCGTCATGCACAGCAATCAAGTAATATTAAGCCCCACATAACATCCGACAGATACCTTAGTACTAGTAATTCGGTTTACATAAGAATTCTTCTACACTAGGCAGTTTATAAAGTTGCACGGTGACGTGAATACCGGTGCTGACTGCAAACCGCTAACACTCGGCAACTCGGTGTTATGCAAACCAAAATAAGTCTACGAGCTTACTGTAGGTCAGAAAGCCTTCAGCAAGCTACCAAGCATACTCGTATCAGTACACTCCGTATCAGTAGGATCAGGAGTATCAGTATCAGTACACTTCGCACACTCGATGGATACATGTCTTAGGCATCACTGAGAGGTTGCTCAATAAGCGAGGGCATGCGGAAGGCAACGGACGTGGTATCGGCCGCACCTGTGCAAGTCTCTGCGAGGCAGACAGCCGAATGTAATCGCTCTCGAGCTTGTCCAGTTTGGCGAGTCGATGCTCGAGGTCGGAGCGCGTCGTCTCTCGCGCGCCGGCGGTCTGCTGCAGTAGCGCCATCTCTCGCTGCGCGTTTTCGTACAGCCAGCGCATGTTGTCGCACTGTGTTTCTAGGATGCAGCGATGCATGCGACACGACTCTGGCGCGCCCGGCGCTGCTGCAAGAATGAGCGCGAGCGTTACTCGGCGAGTGAACAAGCGCAAGACGACAAGGGGCCGGCATCACAGACAAGAATGTGACACGACCTGCATGACCATGCAGGAAACCAGGTTTAAAGAACCGCCACCTTGGTCAAGAACCTGTCCTTGTATGCTTCTCCCTACTTGCCCATGTGTATGCCACTAGTGCATTTTTTTTCGTTGCCCAAAATAGTCGACGTAGTACTTACTGCTAAACGAATGCGAGAGAAACGACCTACGAGAAACAGTACTTTCAGTCACTAATGTCACCATATGATTGATTACGAGCATTGGGAGTGCAACCATTAGCAATCAAAGGTGATTGTTGCCTATTGCTGCCAATCAAAGGTATTGTTGACTATGCGAAGATGCTTTATCACTCCTGCTGACAGATATTAGGAGGTGATGTACATAGGTCCGTTGGATAGCTAGTAATGAATTATGTACCTACCTTTCCCTAGTGTCTGCTGGTTGGGCGGCTTGTGCTCCTGCCCCTCCTCACCCTCAGATGCTGATTTCGGGTCAGTCTTCGCGTCCGACTTACTTCGCTCATTGTCGACTTGCCTTATCTTATCTCGTAGGTTGCGCAATGCTTCAATTACACCTGGTGGTCAGATACCAGTGAAAAAATTAATTAATTTTTTTCCGGGACTCTTTTTGCAAACCCCCCCCCCAAAATTTCGGGGGCTACTTTTTCATTTTCCAGGGCTCTTTTTCCACTTTCCAGGGCGACTTTTTTCCAGGGCTGTTTCCTCAAATGTACACACAAGCACAGTAGCTAATACACTCGCGGGGGCGCACACACACCACCAGGGGCGTAAATCCGTACCGAGGAGTGGGGGGATGATCGGCGATAGCCGGGGGCGAAATTAACCTTGGCTGCCGCAGGCAGGCCCGCGTGCCGTAGGCATGCCAGTGCTAGGGGGGTGTGGGGGCATGCCCCCCGGAAAATTTTGAAATATTTAACCCATTTTCCTGCAATCTGAGGCATACTGTGGCCCATATTCTCATGTCTGATGACACTATCTCAACCCTAGACTCAACCCTACAAGTAAGGATTCAAAACACTTTTCATGACTTTTCAGAAAGCGTACACAGTTAGGTTACTATCTATCTATACTATAATTTGGCTAATCTTGTGTGTGTGTGTGTGTGTGTGTGTGTTGTTTG